TCATACCTTGCTGCATATGTTCTTGTTAGAACAGAATGCAGTTAAATCATAGAGGAAGGACACCGAAGGAGTTTGAACTACCCGGGCTATAACATAGTGCCAATTACCACTTCTGGCATGCCCGGTATGGTCGCCATGCACAGTCTGCCTGACAACCACGAAACTGCTTTGTACCCAGTAATCGCCTAAGCATTTTCTTGCTGGTAATCTGCATCCTTAAAACTTTGTGCACTGAGGTATAGGAAATTGAATATTCATGTATTACTTGGTGCTTGGTATGATATCGACATCAAATTTAATGCTTGCGCAGTTGCACGTATGATACACCGTGGGCCTAAATGTACATGTCCAGTCATTGCCCTTAACGAACGATTTTTTTCTGGAGCTATTTTTGGGATAAATTGCCTCGTTGTCCATAAAAATGTGTGCTTTGTTTTAATTAATCATTTTTATAAAGGCATTTGCACAAAACTGTATTTAACAAGACTTAACGATCACTCCCTGTGATGAAAAAGCGCATTTTGTTGCTTATGAACTTAGCTTTCCAGCAGTAGTCAACATTTTGTTGGCCAGTCTTAGTCAAACTCGTACCAAGTCTTTGAAAACTCGTGTATTGGAGGGAGGAAAATAAAATGACAAACTTTGCATGCATAATTGAACATGTTACCAAAATGTTTAAAAGTGTATTCAAGATGGTAAATGTAGGTCCAATATCAGGAAGTTTTCCCTCTCTATTTTCTATGGTTACCGCAATAATTTGTATAATTGCAAGCAGAACATTATAAGTATTGCTGGAATATTACTGGCCCCGCTTGTCCGGCTAAGATGTAGGCAGTAATCTGGTATTTTTGGAATGCTTTCTGTTAATCATCTAACTAGACAACGAACACTTTGAACACTTTGAAGTCCTTCTGTGTCCTTCCTCTATAGATAAATTAGGATTTTTAGGAGGCAATATCGTGTCTACCATTGATTTGGGAAGCACGGGACTGACCTTGTAGATGGTTGTAAGTTGTCCTTTTATATGATTCGTATTAAAGGGTTATAAAGTTTCTAGACTACCGGTCAAACTGCTTAATTGAAAGGTTTCACGTTGGGAACTAAGCTGGCACAAGTAGATCCCACTATTCATCACTGTCTGCCGTCTTTTATATCAGGTCTAGCCAAAATTAGGTATTTGGCTTCGGTTTTCACGGCGCAAAAGCTTAGTCACTGTCCATTTTCATCGTCCGTTGATGTCAAATCTGATGGACCCAAGAGTCTTGTTAATTATGTGTACATGACGTCATTGTACACGATTGTTATTGGCGCCTTTGGCAACTTAAAATTCTACGAACTGTTGGATCTCCAGGTTAGAAGAATTGATCTAGGCTGAAAACGACGTTTCCAAAGCGTAACATTTTATTGCATGGATTTTAACCTATTCGTTGCAAATGTCAAGATTGGCAGACGAAACAGACAGGTGCTTTTTACTTTGTCCTTTTATGTAACTCCTAATAAAGGGTATAAGCTTGTAAAGATTCCTCAGTTGCTTCTCACTGTTTCGTTTACAGTGAGAAGCACATATTTTGTTCACCCGTGGGCTGTCTTTCGTTTAATTTCTCAAAACTATCCAGATATCTTGGCAACAATGAACTGAAGACGATGGATGCAGACATCATGTTTGGCTTTACAGGTGGGCTTTTGTAAGTCCAAACTTTATTTAATTTAATATTTGTGGTAAGTTTTTATCTGAAATGTCCACTCGATCAAGTTTTAATTGCAAAATGGACAAGAGCAAAAGACTTGCAGGCACATAGCATAATTCTATGCAGAAAGGATGCACAACAAAACAAAATGATAGAAAGGGGAGTGCACACGTTTAAAAGAATTAATTAATCAAGGCCACTTTCACGACCTTCATGACGAACAGAGCAATTTCTAAGGAAGCATATAAGGGCCACTTGCAATTTTTTTTTCCGAGTTACTGTCTCGCAGGATATCAAATTCATGCCGCGGCAAGACCGTATAACTCTGTGCAACGACATAGACATTCAACAATATAACTCGCAGCGGCGAGGTATTATTTCGCCGCAGCGAGATATTAACTGGCAGAAAAAAGTTGTGCTCTTATACGCTTCCACGGATTTGTTGATTTGGGAGCTAAACCATTAGCCAAGTTGACGCTGGCCATTTGCACGTGATCAAAACATTAAATAAATGTGTTTATGTCAGCCTGAATCACAAAGTTGATTATCTATAGTTCAAGTGGAAAGGAACTCTGGTATTAAATTACTTTGATATGTACTAAGCTACCATCATGACTATATCTACAAAACCTTACTACTTTGTATGATAGGAATTAAAATACTTAACATGGGTGAAGAGCAACTATGTTCGATTAACTAAAATACGACATTTTATTGCAACAGATCCTCAATACGGTTGAACTTCAACAAGCTGCAGAGCTTGGGCCCCCAGACATTCAGTGGAGTTTCATCACCTTGGCGCATGTAAGCCCTGCTTAATGCTCGTTGATTTTGAAGAAAGAGCATTTCCACTCTTTTTATTGAACAACATACTTCTCCTTCGGTATTTTTGTTGCAAGAAGACAAACTATAGTGGCGAATAAAATCTCGAATTTCTGTACTATTTGTAATGCATGTGTAAAGACAATTGCTTCGATTTTCCCCCAATTTACAGTGTCCTTCATCACAACAATATCCAGGAGATTCCGTCACGGTTGATGTATCGGAAAGACAAAGAACTCGTCATGTATAGTTTGTAAGTATAAAATGGTTAACAGTGGTGATAATACTTTGATACTGATGTAAATATATCATTGAATTGTTTTCCTGCTAACCAAACGATGATTCCCTACTTTGCACAGAAAATGCAACTTGGAAGTCTGTGAAGCATAGATAGGAAAAAGAAAGGAAATTAAAATGGTCAGAAACCCCAATATTGAAGGCAAGTTGCGTTAATCTGACTCCCTTAGCGATTGCTGGTTGAGGAATCTTGAAAATATGGGGAAGGGGTGAAGCCTCTCAGACTTTCTCCCAGAAAGTGTGAGATTAGCATTAGTGTAAGATAAGGCATTAGTGCTCAGGGCAACTGGCCTCACTCCGGTCCAAGACTCATCGATTTCACTCAGCAGGTTATCGATACTAGAGCCTGAAGATGTACAAAGGGGAAGACTCTAATTTGAAGGTTTCTTCGCTTGGTAATTGACGCCAAAATAGTATCAAAAAGGTCTTTCCAGTGGAAGCAGTTTATGCTTATGTGAGGATTTCACAATTCAATATGGAAAACCAATGTTTTCTGTTCTTTTTTTTTAAACTCTTTTGTAATTCTTTCTTTGAATTACGTCACAACCATGTTTCTGCATCGTCACATTTCCCGTTTGTGCTGAAAGATGTAATGGTGATGGCCAAATAAAGGTGGTTAGACCTATTCCAACCACAATTTCTGCGTTTTGTATGTCTCCCAAAGTGTGCCTCTGTGGAATTTGGCATCAGGTCTGCTCTGGAAGAAGTGGCTCGTCTTACTACACCTCCATACTCCATTACCAAAAGGAAACGTTGTAATCGTTTGGAGCACCTTTTTTCAGGAATGAAGTCAATACAAGTACTAATGTTCACCCCCTGCTTCCTTTTCTAGTCTCCTCCTACCTATCTCTCTATTCCAGCTTCTATGATGTTGACAACTCAGATCACTCATTAAGGTCGTCTTCTGATTCGGAATCGTGCTTGAGCCCCTCTTCAATCTGGTTATAAACAGAATTACTTCTTGGAATGTCCTTACTCTGACCCATGAAGGATTCCTTGAGCTTTCACTCACGGAGCTCTGCAGGCTCAACTATGCGTTCACCAGACTTCTATACCCAGCCCCATATTCCAGGTAAAGGCTGGAAGAATGCCGCTTCCACTGTTTTTTGTTTGTTTTTTTCTGGCGTGTCTGGTCACTCCAGTGCTTACTTTTCCAGTGCTCGTTTTTCGAACGAGAAAGCAAGAGGCACATAATCGTGCAGTGCCCTCACGGGGCAAGTACCATCTTTTTTGCATGCCCCCCACGGAGCCAGGTCACCCACAAGTTAGACAAGGATTCCTTTTACGATCAACTTTCCTGATCTATCTCCTCACTTTGTTTCCACGACAAGTTTTCTGTCCTTGAAAACTTCAAGATAGCAGTGGGCTCTGACAGGTTTGGTTTGAAAATGTCGTTGGTAACCTTGGTTACGATATAATAAATGGCAACTCCTTTCGGATGGTACCTTTTTGGTGTCGTTCACTATCCGTCTTACCTCACACTCTAACTTCAAGTGGAAGTTAATTTTTTTTGTCCTGCCCGACGCGTATTTTAATGAAACACTGTATACTTAGTGTATGCCCCCGAAGGCTTGGGGAAAAAACACAAGCGTATTTGGGTGGGACTCGAACCCACGACTTCCTGCTTACTAGTGCAGACTAGCTTATTCACTGCCCCCCATGCTTATCCAACGAAGGTCACATTGCTGAAAAAAGGTGAGTACATTCTTGTCAGTGATTGCGATTACCTGATGTCGTACCCAGACTACCACAGTCCCCAATGTCTTGTCAATAATACCAGCGACTTGTGGAACGTACAATTCCCCATCAAGAAGTCTTTGATAAAATGTCGCCTAAAGCATACACCATTGAGACTCCGCACCGCTTCAACGCTCAGGGTGAACTGTCTAACTCGAAGCATATATTGGATAAACGGAATCCGGTACTTTAACTTCAAGCATCCATCCAGTAGCATACAGGGTTAGATTGTATTTTGTCAGAGATCTCAGAGAGGCAGCACAACTCGCTTTGCCCAATTCCTTCAAGCAGCCAGTCAACTCATCTAGACCTTGACGTTCCTCCCAAGTTCCATCTTTGTACAACAGCCTACCAAACAGGGGAGGGGGCTTGTGGTTGGTCCCGACTCACCTGGCTTAGCCAGTAGTTGCAGTTTCCTTCAAGCAAATGATCCTGTTCTCTTGGGTACTTTAAAATCTCGCTTAAAAACACATATTTTTAAGGATTATTGCTTATCTTGTACTTGTTAGTTTAAATTTTTTTGTTTTATGATTATTTTAATTTAATTTGATGTTTAGTTTCTTATTGTTTAATTTTTAATTTTGTTTTACAACTCCTGTTACTTTGTTTTAATTATTTAAAGTTAATTTAATTTCTTCATTTTACTGAATAGCGCTTTGAGATGTCATTGACATGGAAAGCAGTTTTTTGAATAATTCATTTGTATTATTATTACCATTATTATTATTGTTCTTTTGCTCTTGGGGGGAGGCGTGGCATAGTGGTTCTTCCCTATTGGTGGTTAAGTACAGCAGCACAAACATTATGACGATTTCTGTATTCAGCTGACGTTTTTCAATCGGATGGGGTTCATTATATATATATTGGGTTTGCCCTTACCCAACGTATATTAATAAGCACTGCATGCTCAGTGCTTGACTGAGAGCTTGCGAAAAAAAA